TCGTTAGTGGAGTAGGCGAGGTACGGTCCGGCATATTAGATAGTACCAGGGCATGTTCCGGTATACCAAACCGTACCCAGAGTACGTTCCGGCAGTACCCCGGAGGACATAGAACCTCTCAGCATCATGGTGTAAAGTTGTGGAAGTGTTCAAAAAGATAGGTGAGATGTCCATGTAGATAAATAAGTGTTAAAAAGCCCAATCATTTTGCGTTTTGGAGATAAATTTTTGGTTAGACCAGTTGGAGGATTTGGTGTCATTACATCTATGGCAGAATGTGCTATAGCCCTGCGGCAGCTATCCGCGGGCTATAGTACTAGAGCTAAGTATAGCCTAGGTATGATGAGCGGGATGCCTTGGAAAGGGCTCACGTGTCAACTCGGTTCACCTGCCAACTCGGTTCGTGAACCGAGCTGACCGATCTCGTGATCGGCGAGCTCGGTTCGCCGGCTAACTTGTGTACTAACTCTAATATCTCGCGAACGATTTGAGTTACATTTCTAAAATTCTAGATACATATAAACACATGTCTTAGCTATGATTTCTGTGAATTTTATGAGCTCTCTATATTAGTGCAAGCGTGCAACAGTCGCGCCGCGAGAGCAATGGCAGCCGGTAATGCAATGATTGGAAACTATCGCCGTATCGGCGGTGTAGCCGTAGGTGAAAGAGAGTAGGCCTGGCTAGTATAGTATAGAAACATTAAGAATTTTGTACTAAGTAAATAGATTTCGTATTTAGTTAGCATTCTATTTTATTGAAACGCTTCAGTTCAAGTGCCTGTGGCTCGGTTCGCCGGCTAACTGAGTTTGCAGATGAACCGAGATGACCGGACACCTTGAAGTTGGAGCGGTACCGTAAAGGTTCAAAGATTACAAACTGCAATAAAAAATTTAATGTAAATCATGCCACATGATACCATCTGCTTCTTTTGCTAAAACGTTCGACACGTTCTTCTTCATTTTCTGAAATTTCAGAGAAAATTTCAATAGACGAACGGAATTTTGATCACAACTCATGAACTGCCAGTAGACTGGTACCGCTCCCACCTCGATTACTCGATGGAAATACGCAGACAAGTCAAGACTCACAACCCTAACCCTAACCCTTACCCTAACCCTAACCTAGACCCTACCCTAACCCTAACCCTAAGCCGATAGGTGGGACCGGGTACCAGTCTAGAACTGCTAGAAGCAGAGGCCGCGCCATCTACCGCATAAATGTGGCAGCTACTCAGCATGACTTCTGGTCA